TCTCTTTAGGCTCTAATATTCATATTATTTTCAGTTCCGGACACTGGGAGAGTCATCGGAAGCTTTATTTTCTCTCATGAATGGAGATGACATGTTTGCTACGTTTTATACTATTGGTGACTCCAACACCACCATAAAGGTTGTAGCAGAATGATTATTCGCAGTCCATCATGTTCCCTCGATTGTATTAAAAATAGTGCATTTAGGTATTTGGTACCGTGTACATATATATTTTTGTATCAATGTTCATCTATGTGGTGCTATCGCTTTTCATAGCCATTATAATGGATGCCTATGAAGTAGTGAAGGTAAAAATTTTTAAAATTTTGTCACGACAGTTGCTTTGCTGTTCTGAGAGCTGGTGTTAGGAGGTTAATTCGTGGAGGGTACTCCAATAATAATATTTTCGCATATGAGCGTATTCCAGGATCGATATTCCTACGGACTTTCCATGGAACGATCGTTACTCAAGGACTTTGTAAAAACAGCGCCGTCGCTTTCCGAACTGAATTCGCCCACTGCACAAGCGCAATTTGCTCCACAGGCGCTTCTGAATCTCGGTCGGTGGGTTATGATAGCTTATTGGGCATGTGATGGCTTCTCACCTGCGCTAACACTTGCACTGATGCTCACCACTCATTTTGTGGGTTGTGTTCGAGGCGGACTTTGTCGCATGGTAAGCTGCATTAACATTGTGCTCAAAAGAAGTAAGCCATGTAACTCATACTTTGTTTATTCCTCCTGAATTCTTGTTAACTCATCTTTAACTTTTCATTTATGTGTTCATGTTCTTGATAATCACTACCGTTTTACTGCGCTGAACAGAAGTGGCTATTATATTCGTTTTTACCGATATTACTCCATCAAATAGCAAATATACTTTTTCTGATAGAATCTTTCTCAGAATTTTTAGGTACCTTGAGGTATTTGATTTGGTCGAAATCCCCAACATATTTGCAGTTCTTAATTTAAGCTCCCCAAAAAACGTGAGCAAGCCTTTTTCGAAATCTAGTCACACCATTCTAATTATCTTGTTTGTAAGCTAACACGAAAGATAATATCACTGTTTATGCTCATTTTTTTATACCTTCCATCTCTTACCTTTTCGAAGGAACGCCGCTTCATTTCGTTGACTGAGTATCCCATCTTACAAGGGAAAGATATTTTGTGAACGTGGCTGTTTGAAATACAATATATACCATAAGATGCAC